CTTACTAGTAGTAACAAGAAGCTACTAGGAACAAGTGCATCGCTTCTCGTAACAAGTGCCTTACTAGTAGTAACAAGAAGCTACTAAGATAAAGGTCTTCACGTCCTCAATCATGATTAGAGCGGGGAGCCACTTAGGTCTGGCCATGCTACTCGCCGAGCGTGGCAGCCCATGGGTGCCTCACTCGAAAACTCTGCAAACACTGCTTTTCGACTTGCTCAGATGTGACATAGCATGACATGAATCCTCCAAGGATTCTTAACGATTATCACTTCAGAGCAAACCAATGGCAACTTTAGCAAATTTAGTGCTATGTCACACTAGTTGCATGGACATTTGGTAGATGTACAGATATGCAACGGCAAAGGGTTCTGTGGACAGCTTCGAACGATACGCAACATTTCCTGAGGCTGAGATGTGTTCTGATGCTTGTGTCCAGATGGCAGCTGTTGCTGCGCGAAGCCCAGTCTGAAATTTGCAAGCTACAACCACGATGAATGCGGACGGTGATATCACACCCATTGTACGACCACTCATATTGCAGGGTTCATGAATCTGATTAGGAACATAAAGACAACAATCTGAATGAATGATTTGTTTTCACATGTCTTTTTAGCTACTACAGTAGTAGCAAGGACGGTCCGACTAAAAAGGTGCCCTATGTGACTACTAGTAGCAAGTAGCTACTAGTAACAAGGTAATCACTACTAGTAGCTAAGTGCATTACTAGTAGCTTCTTGTGTTGAGGAAGCCGAACTCCAAACCGCAGAGCTTGAGCTGGAGCAGCTGATGGCCCAAGCGGCCGAGAAGGCAGCGGCTGAAAAGGCCAAAGAGGAGCAGGAGGAGGAGAGAGGGGAGAAGAAGGGCCGCAAGGGAAAGCTACAAGAACGTTTGAGCGTTTCTTTTGTGGAAGCGTTCCCTTTTTGCAATTCTTTTTCGAGCATTCCAGATCCGAACCTCTGTAATCGTAGCATTCGTGGACAGAAGAGCGTAAGAGTTTGGGGCCAAAAAGCCTGGGGAGTTTAACTATCCCGGGGGAAATGGAAGGTAAACAGCCCGAGTCGCGCTAGGGTGGAGGCCATCGCTATTAATTAGGTTGGAGGCCATCGCGAGTAGGTTGGAGGCCATTGCTACTAGTAACAAGAGGCTACTAGTAGCAAGAAGCTATTAGGGTGGAGGCTATATTCGTCATGCTTTTAAACCTTTCTCCTTTTCTTCCTTTCCTTCTTACGAGGGTTACGGGGCCAAAACCCCAAGAGAAGAAGACGTAGCAGATGTAGCGAAGTTGGCAAGCTTCTAGGCATCCTCTACGTAGCACGAGGGGAAGCTTGTTGATTTGGTGAAGAGTAGGTGAGAAGAGTAGGTCAGTAGGGTCGAGAAGAAACAAGAAGGTATGGGGCCCTCAACATTAAATTTAACAAGCAGCTACTAGGTTGAGGCCATCGTTATTAGGGTGGAGGCCATCGCTACTAGTAACAAGAAGCTACTAGATGGAGGCCTACATCGTTGTGTTTTTGTTTCCATTGAATTCGATTGACCTCAACGGTCATCGAGGAGGCTGCGACCACGGGAGCCGAGTCCAAGGTGCGGAATAAGACCTGGGCGGAGGTGTACCGGGTAAGACTGGGTTTCCTTTCCCGTTGCGGACGGGGTCTTGTACAGAGAAAGTGTTCTTATTGAAGGGTTCCGACCTAAACCCCCTTGTGGAGAGACATGTGGTGTTCCGGTGTTCTTTGCTAGTAGGTTGGAGGCCATTGCTATTGTTATTCTTTTGGACCTTTGGAGCTTGCTTTCTTCCTCGCACCTACTGGTTCTTGCTAGTCGTAGCACAGGGGTTAAGCGGAAGTGGTGTTGGTCGACAAGCAGTGTTTGCTGTTTTGTCCTTGAGCTCAGGAAGCTGAGGAACAAAGCCAAGGTTGCATCCAACCTAGTCTTAAGTTGCAAGGAAGAGACCAAGTGAAAGACACACGTAAATCCAAAGACTCCAGACTTTTGAGTTTGCTTTTTCATCGTTGATCGACACATTTTTGTGATTTCCTCTCAAGGTGCAAATGCAAGTGCGTCTCTGGATGGTGGAACAGAGGACATGGACATGGTGCTTCCTTTTTTTCACTACCCACTGACTATACCAAAAAGAATCAATGCTTGCTTTGCTTGAACAAGCTGGACTTGTTGCGTTTAGTCGACGTCAGGAGGCCAGCCATTTCAGCCACGTGCTCAGATGTGACCTGCAAGAAACCGAGTTCCTTCACAACCCGACACTCGCTGTGGATCACGAAGAACTGTCAATTCGAACCAAGGACACTCTCAAACAGCAAGTGTCGAAACACTGCCTCGAACACATTTGTTTTGTTGCCAGCCGAACGCCATGATTCGCTGTCGGTTCTGCAGCTGCAAATGCCTTTGTGCAGGTTTCCATTCAAGCCCTGAACAATAAGTTCCTTGCCAATGAATACACCATCCGAGCATTTTGAAACGTTGAACATGCTCGTAGGACATCACTCATCATGTCGTCACTTCTTCAAGAGAGCTTCGAAACGCTTTGAGACCTTTTTGGACATGTATGATAGTTAGCCCAAACAGACAGAACACCTATCATCGAATCAAAGCTGAAACTAATTCTATTGCAAGCATTTGCACGCAGTGTCCAGCCATGTCGTGCAAAGAATCTACTGACAACGGATTTCAGCACTGACCTTAGCACGTATTTAGACATATTGTATCTTCTACATTGTTACATGTCCCTCTGGATTTCTCCAACCTGTGCTAAAAGCTTTGCCTGGTGGTGAAAGTTCAGGCGATGAAGTCGACAAAGATGTCCAGTCGTTTTCAAGAGATGCTTTGTGGAGATGAGGGAGATGATTTCGTTGCTCGATTCGCATGTGCTGGGAGAAACTGAGAACCAGAATAGGACGAGTAGTCATCAAAGGTGGGAACATGCCATAATTGAAACATGGAGCGGTTTCTACTGAGGTTTGTGGATACCCTATGTACACCGACAGCAAAACTGCAGAGCCTTACGTCCTGGAGCTGTACCGTGCACATGGCGCAGCTGAAACTTGGGCTCATGATGTGATTTAATGGTTTTATGACTAAGTATTCCTTACAATGAGAACCTTAACCTATTAGCGATGGCCTCCAACCTAACGAAGTAAATGGAGTCCTTCTAGAAGGGGCCCTGACCTTCTTATCCTTTTGTATTTTGACCTTTGCTTTCTCTTTTCTAGAAGCTTTGAGGCAAAGGATTTGATCTCCAACCGGCTTCGGCACAATGCCCTGACCATCCTCAGGTGCGAATTGTTTCGGTTGATCTTCGGTTGATCCAGTTGCATTTCACTCCTGCAAGGCATATGGTCCGAAAGAAGGCCAAGCCAGACATGATGCACTACCCCTTGCCAATACAGGCATTTGCCGCCTTCTTTGCAGAATTGTGTTGTTCTGAAAACTTCCAACTGGTTCGAGGCTATCGCTAGTAGGTTGGAGGCCATCGCTAGTAGGTATGTTTGAGGCCATCGCTAGTAGGTTGGAGACCATCGCTAGTAGGTACGTTTGAGGCCATCGCTAGTAGGTTGGAGGCCATCGTTGGAGGCCGTCGCTAGGTTAGGTTGGAGGCCATCGCTAGTAGGTTGGAGACCATCGCTAGTAGGTTTGAGGCTATCGCTAGTAGGTTGGAGGCCATCCATCGCTCTTGGGTTGGAGGCCATTGCTAGTAGGTTGGAGGCCATCGCTATTAGGTTGGTATTAGGTTGGAGGCCATGGCTAGTAGGTTTTGAGGCCATCGCTAGTAGGTTGGAGGCCAGCGTTCTTGGGTTGGAGGCCATCGCTAGTAGGTTGGAGGCCAGCGTTCTTGGGTTGGAGGCCATCGCTAGTAGGTTGGAGGCCATCGCTAGTATATAGGTTTGCAGGCCATCGCTATTGGAAGCAAAGAACCATTAAAAAAGGAAGGTCTACTATAAGTTTGACTCCCAACTGGCAGACCAAGTTTTTTTCGGGGAATTCTTGCGAGGCAGTGGCACCGCTGATGGCTTTGACATGGCGCAGCCGCCGCAGCCAATGGCACCGATTTCTCTGACAGAAAAGGTGCTTTGCACAGTGGGCTTGGCAGAGCCGCTATGGTGCTTAGATCTAAGATCTGGGGAATAAAACCTTCAAAACAAGAAAAGAGAAAGAACGGAAGGAAGAAAAAGGAAGAGGGAAAGGAACGCGGTGGTCGACAGTTGTTTTGTCGTGGCCCCTTCAATGCAATTACCGTTTAGTTTGGATAGTCATGACCTCTTCAGCTTTGGTCGAAATCACTCTGTTTGGCTTGCCTCGGGGATTCAGTTTGTACATGTCAAGCACCATCTCCAGTTTGTCGAGCACCGAATTAACCATGTCCATCTGAGTCGCTGGGATTTGAAGCCTCGATTTGCTTTTTCAGTGTTCTGTTTGTTGAAACGCCTATAAACAATCTGAATCAAAGGTGAAAGACGGCCAAAGGAGGGCGTAAAAGGGGCAAGACAAGGGCCACGTGTTGTGGAAAACAGTGGCTTTGATTGGCTACCTTGGTTGTTGAAGGAATTGAAGTTGCTACTGTTAGCACCCGAATGGCTTGAGGGGTCCTTTCGGTCAATGTGCTAGATTTGTTTGGAAAATAGACTCATCATTGCATCATTTGTTTTTTTGTTTCAAATAGCTCCTTGTTACTACTAGTAAGGCACTTGTTACTAGAAGCGATGCACTTGTTCCTAGTAGCTTATTGTTTCTAAAGCTGCTGAAGGCCATCGCTTTAACTATCTTTTTTTGTTTTCTGTTTCCATTTGGACTTGGACTTTGAGGTGGCACGGCAGACGGAGGTTGCACACTTAGTTTTCTGTGGGAGACAACATTCTTGTCCAGCTTTTCGTTTCAAAGGTGACGAGATCGAGAAGGACAAGGAGGAGACAGAGGAGAAGAAGGAGAAGGAGGAGGAGAAGAGCGATAGGGGAGAAAAGGCAGAGAAGAAAGAGGAGAAGGAGAGGGATGAAGAGAATGGTGAGAAGGAGACAAAGGAGAAGGAGGAAGAAAGAGACCAGAAAGAGAAGGAGGAGAAGGACGAAGAACATGGTGAGCAGAAGGAGGAGCAGCAGAAGGAGAAAGAGAAGGAGAAGGAAGAAGAGAAGGAGAGAGAAAAGAAGGAGAAGGAACGCAAACTGAAAGAGAAGGAGGAAAGAGCTAAAAAGGCAGGCTTATTATGATGAACATCAACGGTTGAAACAAACCAGCTCTCCAAACACGAGAAGGAGATTCGATGCTTTTGCTGCACCTTACCAACATAAGAACCCTTGTCGGGAACAATAAGAAGCTACTAAGGGCTTCTGGCATCGCTACTAGGAGCAAGGACGCTGCTAGGGGCTCCTAGCCGCTCTAGCCGTACTACTAGGAGCATTCTTGCTACTAGTAACAAGAAGGTACTAGGCTCCTGGCATCGCTACTAGGAGCTCTACTACAGGTCCAACCAGTGAGCTCTATTTGATAGTGGCGGAGATCAACGAATTCCACACGAATTCCTGAAGACTCTATTTGCTTCAGTTTTTCAGATTTTGAACCAGGCCGAGGCAGAGGAGGCCCGCAAGCGGCGTGCAGAGGTGCGAGCTCATGGGTTGGAAAATTGCTTGAGTTCTTTGGGAAGGAACAGTCGCTATTAGGTTGGAGGCCATTGCTATTAGGTTGAAGGCTATCGCTTGAACAATCGGTTTTCTTTCAGATTGACAGCTGGCCACCTCAAAGGAAAGGCAGCTTGCAAAAGCCAAGCTTGGTGTTGTGGATGCCAAGTCGAGAATAGTCAATGTCCCAGTTTTGCAGTTTGTGCATAGAATTGGGTATCATTTTTCTTCTTCAGAATTAGATCAATTAGATCGTGTTTTTTGTTTTAGTTTCTTTTTTGTGTAGACACCCTTTTTCAACCTTTAGGCGGCTCCTTAATGGCCCAAAGTGAAGACTCACTTGAGGTGGAGGCGAAAGCTGCCGCGGAGGCTTGCAAACGCATGGCGAGGCAGGATGACAAGTCACTCAGGAGCACTCAACATCATGTCTTTGCCGCCCCACACAGACTGACAGTTCTACCTCACCAGCTGTCTCTTTTGCCTTTTTTTCATTTTTTCCAAAGGTTTTCTGCATTTTTTCATTTTTGATTCAACAGTTCTGCAAGGCCTTGGCCTAGTGGTGATTGGAAGTCCTTGCTGGAGCATTTCAAGAAAGAGCTCTTGGTGTCAGAGCCCCGGACATTTTTGGACTTGTTAAGTTTTCCTAACATCTAGGAACCACATGAATAGCGTGAGCTATCCTGCGTCCAGTTACTAGGAGCGTGCTTAGTACCTAATAGAGCTACTAATTAAATGCCTATACCATCCCATACCTCTTCCTCTTGGACGTGGTCCGCCAAGGGTCTACCAAGGTGGTCTTGTAGAACTCTGAAAGGGTAGAACCGACGAACTAAGCAAACTATAGTAATAGGAGAACTCTAAGGGAGAAGGAGAACTGGAGTACTAGGAGAAATCTAAGAGAAGTCTAGGAGAACTAGAGCCAAGTACCACTGTTCCCGAAGGCCAATCCTTGAGGCGCAAGGCAATGATGTGCGGGCCTTATCAAGACTTATGAGCCAAACAAGCTTCCGAATATTTGTACTGGACTGACCGGGGTAAGATCCGGCTACCGTCCAAAAACAATCCAAAGCATAACTCCTTGGCCCTCTTGTTCGCAACGATTTTTGCCCGACCGTTAACGTAATGGACTTTTGTGCGATTTGATTGAATCAAAACCGTGTTTTTTCTTTGCAACACACACACACACGTTTTCGTTGCGTAGCCGCTTCATGCGTAGGCCGGAGGCTTAGAACTGAATGGGCGCTATGGGTCCTGGCTGGGAGCTGCGTCCCCAGGTTTCATCGCACTGCGGTGAACAACAGGAGCTTCTTGCTACTAGGAACAAGAAGCTACTAGGAACAAGTGCATCGCTACTAGGAGCAAAGGGCCTTACTAGTAGTAACAAGAAGCTAGTAGATGCCCTTTGTTACTAGTAGCCTTGCTCCTAGTAGTATGGCCAGGAGCTACTAGTAGCTTCTTGCTCCTAGGATTTTGCATAGGATACTCAATACATGTCATAGTAGGGCAGTGTTCAAGATCTCAAGATGAGAAGTAACGATCTCAACTTGAGCTAAGCCACTTGAGTCCGTCGATGAGGCCTTGCTCCGAGCTGGTTGCAGGCCAACGGAGCGACAGGCAGGCCCTTGGTGAAGACTTGCTTCGCCTCGTTTCATGAAGGAGGCCCATCGCTATTTATTAGGAGGGAGGCCATCGCTATTCGGTTGGAGACCATCGCTACTAGCAAGAAGCTACTAGGGGCTCCTGGCATCGCTACTAGGAACAAAGACACTACTAGGGGCTCCTGGCCTTACTAGTAGGGACAAGGACGCTACTAGTAGCTCCTGGCCATACTACTAGGAGCAAGGACGCTACTAGTAACAAAGGGCATCGCTACTAGGAGCAAGAAGCTACTAGTTGTTCACCTTTGGGATGAGCTGTGGCGCAGGTGGAGACGCTGGCAAGACAGGTGTCCCTTGCTCTAGCAGAGGCCAGCGGAAAGTGTCACAAGGAATGCACAGAGCCCATCTGACGGGTTATGAGGCAGCTGGGCCTTTGCTGAAGGATGCCATGACGTTTGCCCCGCCCTGAAAGTCAGAGAGCTCTTAATGGCATGTGCACTTCTTAAATCCAAGAGATGCGTCAGTCTGGAAACAGATCCACTTCTTTTCTGGAAGCTCCAGGAATCATAAGAGCATGGTATCAAGACAAATCAAGACTTGACAAAGTAGCTGCCCTTCTATCCGCAGCTGTTTGTGTGAAACTGTAGCCGGGGAGTCATAGTTTGCAGTGCCTTCAATTCGAAGATGTCTTCCGGCATTACCCCCACGGATGAGTGCATCTCCATGTTCAACGACATGAAGCTGAAGCATGACAGGAGGTTCATCATCTACAAGATCGAGGGAGATAAGGTTGTGGTGGAGAAAGAAGGAGACAAAGACAAGAAGTACAGTGACTTTATGGACGCCCTCAAAGAGGTGGCGGAGAATGAGCCACGTTATGCAGTCGTGGACTTTCATTTCGAAACCGCAGATGGTCGTCCACAGGACAAGCTTGTGTTCATCGGATGGTCACCTGACACCTCAGGAGTGAAGCCTAAGATGACCTACGCCTCCACCAAGGATGCCATTTTGAAAAAGTTGTCCGGAGTTCACAAGGCCTTGCAGATCACCGAATCCTCTGACCTCACTTTTGATGAGATCGCCGGGCACTTCAAGTGAGCACAATGAGCAGTTCATGAGCCAAGTTGCCAAATCTCAATCTCCAGCATTTCGGAGTTCATGCATTCTACGGCATGGGCGCTCTCTTGTGCTGACTCGTTCCCTTGTGAGGTTGATGGGCAACCTGCATGTCTTTCTGTTGAGGTTTTGAACACGTGAGTCTGTTCTGTTGTTAGATACAAGCTGTCCTGAGTAGAGCCATAGCAAAGACATTTTGGAATGCTGCGTGCTGAAGGAAGCACAAAATCCAGAGATTTACCAACCGGGGAAAAAGCACTGCAAGCAGCAGTCTCGGTAAACATTCAGCGTAAAGCTTGTACAAAAAGGCGCCAACGAGTCATTTGGCTAACAGGATTTGCAGCTTGAGGATTCGAGAATTCCTTCCAAGGTCGAGCAGCTTCTGGAGCCTCTTTCTGTGGAAGCCTCTTCCACGTTGGCACAACTCCAAGTGTTCAAAAGGCAAAACTAGTGGCTGCTTCTTGCTACTAGTAGTAGTAGTGGCCTCCAACCTACTCGCGATGGCCTCCACCCTAGTAGCGATTGGCCTCTTACTAGCTAAACAGTTCATTTTTTCAACCATTTTTTAGTGCGAAGTCTTCTCTGTCGACTACGAACAGCCCAGGTCACGGCTCTGAAACGGCACGGGGTCGAGGCAAGACTACAACGTCTGGCAGAAGTGGGTGCAGTCGGGGTGGTGCGGGGGTCTTAGTTCCGAGATGGTTGAAATGCTCCTAGGACATGCTATTAGGTTAAGTATGTCTTAGGAACAAAGAAAGGAAGAACAAAGAATGACAGGTCTAAAGGTCTTAAGAAGGAAAGAAAAGACATATAAAAGATATAAAAGAAGACAAGACAAGTCAATTTGCTATCTTTTTGAAACCAGACAATATACAGTATTGTCAATATTGTACTATGCTTCTCTCTTTGTGGCAAAGATGCTTTCTTCTCAAGTCGCCATGGTGGATGGATTCTTGTGCCGGCAAATGTCGCACGCATGAGGTCCTCAGACTCCCACATGACACTGAGTGAAGGCCCCAGTTGTTCATTGGAACATATCGGAACTTTTTTCAATTCCGAATAGCGATGGCCTCCAACCTACTCGCGTCCTTGCTCCCCCTAGTAGTGATGTCAGGAGTCCCTAGTAGCTTCTTGTTCCCATTAGTAAGGCCAGGAGCCCGTAGTAGCGTCCTATCGGAACTTTGGCAATTCCTTCACTAATACTTGGAACACCAAACCAAGGACCACTTCGCGAGTGTGCTCAGCGAATTACACAGCTACCAAACTGGAAGGCAGATTCAAGTCTTTTTCACAACGGATTCGAGGAAGGTGGAAGAACTCGAGGCTAAAAATGGCAGCCGAGTGGCAACTTCGAGTCTTTTTCTTTAAGCTTCTTTGTATAGGCAAAAGAGGAGCCTCTTGGATTCAGGCAGCAGAGTCGGCCGAGAACCCTGTGGCTTGGAGACCCAGCTTCACGTGCAACTTGCGCACCGATCTGTTTGTGACTTCAATCGGCTTTCATGTTTTTTCCTAAAAAGTCTAAGGAGTGGAAGGTAAGGGCCATTTCAACAAGAGTTTTTTTGAAGGAGGTCTTATTAAAGCCCTAACCGTTACCTCCATTTTTCCTCCCATAGACTTTGAAGAACATGTTCCTCTTGGGATGATGTGCAGTGTCAGGTGGCGGATTTGGTTGGACGGCTCTTGGAGCCCGGGGTGTCAGAACCTCATCTGACCTGTCTGACCTCGTCTCTTTGAGAGAGGGCTTTTTGAAGAGGGAAAACGACAAAAAGGCAGGGCCATCGCTAGTAGGTTGGAGGCCATCGCTATTATTAGGTTGGAGG